TTTCTGAGCCTGTAGCTCCTCATGGGTGTAGCAAGCTTCATCTTTCTCCCACGGATGAGCTGGATGTTTTGAACTGCTGACCTTGCAGTTAGCGCCCAATGTATAACCACTACACCCTCAGGGATTGCTCTTTTGCACTAAAGCAAGGCTAAATAAGAACGGAACGGACCTGTTCAGTAAAGATCTCATTTGCAACCTTAGGGCTGCCTACATATAAATTCACTTGAGCTCATGGTCTCTCGCTGGATATCAATAGAGCTACAGGATTGGTGCGTGTGACTTATCAGCTGCTGTTCTGCTGCTTGGGAGAATGCTATATGCTTGGCACAGCCCACTCAGACTTGCTAAGTACAATTAGGCAGGGTGTGTACTGCACAACCCTAGGAAATATAATCATATCAATTTTCTAGACATTTATTATTAGAGAATTCTAGTGGTTGACAGTAATGTGTTTTGGTTCAACAAACTAGATTAGGTCGGTTTCCCAGCTGTTGGAGGTTAATCAACTAGAATAGTTCATTTCCTTTTGTAATTCACACACGTTCTTACAGACTGGTCGGGACTCTGAACTTAATTCCCTTCACAGTGAGGGTTCACTTCATGTGAAAACACCACAGTTCTCAGTGCATGCCAGAATATCATGCCGAGGCAGAACATGACCTTTGCCAGATCATTTTGTGTGCCTTCCTGTCATTGCGAAATAATTAACTATTAAGAGACAGAGGAACCATTTCACATAGTGTAAAATACTAATTGTAGCAAGGTACAAATTTACATATCACTATATGCTCTCGTGGCAGAGTGGGTTATGTGATGAGCAACTAACCTCAAGGTCATCAGTTTGAACTCACCAGCTGCTCTGTGGGTGAAGAAGGAGGCTTTTTGCTCCTATGAAGATGTTAGGTCTCAGAAACCTGCAGGGGCAGAACTAGTCTGTCCTGCAGGACTGCTGTGAGTCGGACTCAACTGGGTGGCAACAAGTTTGGTTTGGGTATATATGCCCAAGACATTCTCCCTTTCAGCTCTCATAAAGGAGTGAATGTATCTTCAGATATTAATTGGAGCAGGATTAGAGTTGGCTATTTTCTTGTTGACTGGTTTTATTCACTCTTTTTAACTGAAATTTTTAGTAGCTAATAGCATGACTCAGTTGTTTTTGTTTCTTTTAATTACGTATGTTCTCCTGGTCATCATTCATCAACTCAGAATTGTAAGTCAGTCTTTCCTAAGATTCTGCACAGTTTTATCCCAACGGACAAATTGTTAAGTTAAAAAAAAAACAATGCACTAAAGCAGAGGAGGAAGATCCCACATGCAGAAAGCAACCAAGGAGCAGTGCTTGCCTCCTGTAGCCGACAGAGCATTCCCCAGGCCTTCAACTTATGGAATGCCAAGCGAGGGGAAGTCTTAGGGCAAGCCGTGCCTATTAAGGGGGTCTGTAGTCACAAAAGGACTTTTAGAGTAGGAGGGGGTACACCCCCCCCAAAACAGAGTAGTTTTTCAAAGCTATGTATTTTTTAGTTTTTTTTTTTTACTCAACAGCCTCATCACCTTCAAACTACTCTCCATTCCTCTTAATCCATTTGTCAAATCTGTGATTCCATTCTTGGAAACATTTTCCAAACTCATCTGTTTGGATGGCTGACAGCACCCCTTTGTTTCTTCTTCACCTCTTCAATGTGGTCAAATCCATGTCCTTTCATGCTCCTCTTCATTTGTGGAAACAAAAAGCAGTCACACGGAGTGAGGTCAGGTGAGTAAGGTGCAGAGGGCAAGAGAGGCATGCTGTTTTTTGCCAAAAACTGGCACACTGAGATGGCTGCATGAGCAGGTGTATTATCTTGTTGGCAAAACCAGTCCCCTGTCTGCCACAAATCAGGCCTTTTTTGGGTCACACACTGTTACACTACCTTTTTAGAATCTTTAAATAGAAAGTTTGATTAACAGTCTGACCTAGTGGAACCAACTCCAAATGCACTATGAGTTGACTTTTCTGCCCTTTTAGGAAGTTGATGGACGTCCAGAATGAGGTTTGTTATCAATCGATGTTTCACTTTTTTTGAAACAAGCAAACCACTCGTATACTTGAGTTTTTCCCATAGCTCTGTGTTCCACATCACAACACTTTGTAAGCTGTGTTCCACATCACAACACTTTCTGCAGCATTTTTCCTGAGCAGGAAACAAAACTTCACAGTGGCATGCTGTTTTTTTTAAGCCAGGTATCACAAAAAATGAGGTTTGAGTGAAACTGCTTTTATGAAAAAATCCTCTTTGATCAAAGAGAACCTACCCAGGTGACGCATCTGGGTGCACTAACAGAGCAAATTGTCGGATGCTTACCTAGTAGGAAAAATGGGTACCATGAAAGCTCCTCCCAGTGGAGCTTTTTTCCGCTTTTGGAGGACCCCCTTGTATTTGTAAAGTTGTTAGATGCAATTGAGTCAATTCTGACTCATAGTGACACCAGGACACAACAGTGCCTGGTACTGTCCCCCCTCCCAATTGCTGACCTGCTCGAGGCAATGGAATTCAAGGAGGCTTTAGAAAGTTTATTTTTCAGATACATTTCCTTATTGTTTAGTATCCCTTTTCCACAAACCATCTGAAGCCTCTTCACACTTTTTAAAGGGGCTGGGATCAGGGGTGGGGGACAGGTATTACAGTATTTTTCCCTGGGGAAAGAAAACCTAAGTCTCTTACTAGGGTGCTGAATCTGTAATCTCTTCTGTGTATACTAACAGCTAATGTCTTGTCCTCACTGTGCAATGAAAAGCCAACTTTCCAACACCCGCGCTCCCGCATCTTAGATCTAGGCAACATAAAGGAGGTTGGGCCAGTGTGTGTCTTGGGCACACCCCAGAGCTGCCAAGATTGTGCCCAGCAGCAGCAGCAGTGGGATGCTGTGGGTGCCCTGGGAGAAGCGAGACTTTGAAGGTCTCCAGTGAACTAAGAGGCTGGGTGAGGAAAAGGAACACCTGGCAGGCACTGCCCTGGCTGCATGAGGCTCTTGATGACAATCCCATGGAATCCAGCCATCCTCTCTGCCCCAGGGTGCTTCATGGAGCGACCCTCTCTGCGGTCTTTGGGGAAGGTCAGAACTTGAGGGGGTCTGTGACATGACTCATACCTAAGGCCCTTAGTCCCACCTTCTTGGTTGAATATACTTTATTAGCTATTTGATTCTTAGAATAATTGCCTACAAAAAAAAAAGAATAATTGCCTACACATCCCATTGCCTAGTCTGCTCATTACTTGATTAACCATTAATAGAAGCCTCTTTCTCCTGCCTCCTCATTCTCCCCATCATCCTCTGCTTCCAAAGCTATCTGATTTTTATTGTGGGATATGTATATCTTTCAAATTGCTGGCCATTGTAGTATTCCTCGTACATACATACGATTAATTCGGTGATCAGACACTATTATGTTGTTAAGCCATGGGCCTATCAACTTCCCAATTTTCCCATCACCTTTGACAGAAGCTTAATCTCCCCGAAGTAGTAAATCTTTTCCCTCCTGCCTTCCCAGCCTTGGTAACCACCAATAAACGTGGGTCTCTATACACTCGCCTATCTGAGAAGTTTTGTAGAAATGGAATCATACAATATTTGCCCTTTGGACTGACTGATTTCACTCAGCATAATGCAAAACTTTTTGGTGTGTATTTTAAAAACACAAGTCTATCACTCCCCTGATTAAATCCTTCCATAACTTTCCAACACAAACAAGATTCAATCAAAATCCCAAGCCTTACACCCAGGGCCCTTTTTGGCCTAATCTCTGATCTCCTGCCACTCCCCGCCCTTTTCAGTATCTTAGGCTTCAGACTTTAATTCCCTTTCATTCTGTTCCCTCCAACTTTGTAGTGTGTGGTAGCCCTGAGCCATTTGCAGGGCTGCAAGTCTTCTATCAAGATTCTTCCCACCTGCTCATCACAATTCATCTTTCCTCTCAAGATTTAGTGGTTCCCACAACTATTACACTAGCCTCTATCCCACTCTAGAGGAAGTAGTGTGGGTAACTGTCTCTCCCACAAAGCTTGCTAGTTTTATTTTTATCTACAGGGTTGGGAAACTGAGATTTCACCAATAGCCCTTAATCCCAGGAAGCTGGTAGAGATAAGCACCTTGACAAAGGGTGGCCATCTACTAATTAACTAGACCCCAAGGGCCACAAGGACAGGCCCCAGGTCCTCTCCATGGCCATTTCCCTGGAACAATGGCTGGCACATAGTAGGTGCTCAAGAAGCAGCTATCAAATGAATAACCGAATGAATGTTTTATGTTTTTTGTTTCTTTTTACTATCCCCATCCTGCCCCCACCTGCCGCCCCCTGCCTCCAAACCTCTCATTGATCCAGGTAAAGAAGGCTGAGCAAGGTGCTATTTTATTTTACACAAAAGAAGTTACTCCAGTCCCATCTAGAAGTTCCAGGCTATACCAAGGGTCATGAAAAACAGAGGCCTCATCTGCTGGAGTTGCTGCAGTATCACCAGCACCTCATCCCGTTAAATGTTTGACAATTTCCCAAGCCCTTTCAGCCACCAAAGTCAAGCCCATTATGATCCTGCCTCCTGGCCATGCTGTAGGAGAAAGTAGGACTCTCTGCTCCCTAGGGAACAGGCAGCCTCATCTTTTCCCTTTGAGCAGATAGTCGGTTTGAATTGACAACCTCAAGGTCAGTGCCACCAGTGCTCCTCTTTTAGTATCAGTCTCAGTCCAAGTCCAGGTAGGTGATATAGAACAGGAGGGAGCCTCCGTCGCACCCCCGGCCCCTACTTTTTAAATAAAGTCTAACCCAAACTCACGGCCCTCGTGCCAACTCACAGACACCCCATAGGTCGGGGTAGAACTGCCTCTGGGCCCCTGAGAATGCAACTCTAAGAGAGGAGAAAGCCCCAGTGTGTTCTTTTACAGGGACCCCTTAATTGAGTCGTGACCAGGACAAAGATCACCCCCTTCCATCCCCACCCCCCCACAAAAATCAAGTAGAAAACAGATGTTTTGAGAATGATGATGACAACAAATCTACAAATACGCTTGACACAGTGGATGGGTGGATGGATTGTGATAAGAGTTGTAGGAGCCCCCAATAAAACGATTTAAATAAATAAATAAAAGAAGGACCCAGGCTGAGGAGAGCGTGTCCACAGCTGTTTGGCCAGGGGTTTGTCTTTCTTTCTTGGTTAATCGTAAATAAGTAATTAAGAACCCACTGACCTCAAGTCCATTCTGATCCCTAGAGGACCTGTATAGGACTTCCGAGGCTGCAGGTCTTGATGGGAGGCAGACGGCCGCACCTTTGTGCTGTGGAGGGACGGTGCGTTGGGACCGCCACCTTGAAGTTAGCTTTCCCAACTGGGCCCCCAGAGCTCCTTAAGCAAAAACCAAAGACCAATCACGCAGGCGAGGCTGGAATGTGTCCACCTTGCTAACTTACAGAACCTAGAAGCCAAGGGACGTTCATCACAAGGCTATGAAGGCGGCAGGTCACTTTTTCACTGTTGCAGGCAGAACTAAGGAAGGCAGAAAGGGACCGAAATTGGGATACACACCCTCTCAGATCAGAGACGTGTACAGGATTGGTTCTGGAGCCCTCCGAACACCTGGGTCTGGGAATGACTGGAGACCTTACCTTGTGGCCCTAGTCCCACAATTCCCTGAGGGCGAGACTGCGCCTCCCAGCACGGCCCCATTGGTCAGGGTCAGTCAGTTGGACTTCAGTGGTGGGCTCAGTGGATGGAGGTCAAGGTCCTAGCTGGATGAAAACCTGAGTGTTTTTGTTTTTTCCTTCCGGCCCAGGTTCGTGCAGTGTTCTGTTATCACACTGCATCTCACCCGAGCTGGAGAAAACCTTTAGTTTGCCTTCTCTCAGCCTTTCATTACCAGTGCCCGGACAAAGAAGCCGCAGAAGTACAGACATTTGAGCTTGGATGCCAGGATCTGAAATGAATCAGATACATGTATAGAAAGACTTCTGCAAACTATACAGCAGCTTTCTTTGCAGAATCTTTCTTTTCAGGCCCATGTTTTCAGAATCTTGGGGAACGGAGCAGGGGAGTAGGCTGGGGGAGTTGCCGGTGGGCAGGCTGGTGCTTATTGGGAAGATCCCCAGGGGATTCTGAGTCCCAGTCTTCACTGTCTCCCCTCCTGTCCCATGCCCCCC